CCGCCCCGCACCCCGCCCCGCACCCCGCCCGGCCGCGGCCGCGCGTCTTACCGTGGGCCTCTTCCACTCGATGCCCCGCGTTTTGCTGGAGTAGGGTCCCAACTCCTTGAAGCCCAGCGAAGAAGGGAGGGCCGGGAAGGAGGGATCCTGGAAGAGCGTGCCGGCTTCCAAGCACTCGTCCCGCAGCGCCGCGTAGTCCTGGTTCAGGTACTTGACGGCCCTCTCGTGCAAGCCCAGCCCCTCGGCCGCCTCTCGGTCCTTCACCAGCTTGGCCGCGATTCCCGCCATGCTGCAGGTCTGCGCCACCGCCTGTGAGGGAGCGAGGGAGGGCGGCTCGGAGAGGCGCGGCAGCCGGGCGCACTGCAGTGGAGCTGCAGAAGGGCTGCTGCGTCGATGATTCAGGCGGCGGAGGAGAGCGGCCTCCTGGCTGGGTGTGGCCTCTGCGCTCCCGGCCTGCTCGGCGGCCCGGGACGCTGCGAGCAAAGCGGCCAGGAGAGCGCCGGCCGGGCCGCGGGCCGCGAGGCCTGTGCTGCCACCTGCCGACGGCTCCCGAGATAGCGCGGGCCGGGGCCGCGCCGGACACTGGGCCGTCCAGTGGAAAAGGTGTGGCTGCAGTCAACCTTCGATTGCCAAGTTCCCAGCGCCTGGGGAGGAAGGCTGGGCGAAACCCGAGGCTGGGGCAATTGTGACTCTCCGGGAAACACCCGTGAGTCAGCAGATCGGGAAGTGGAGTCAAGCATAAACTGGGCTAAAAAAAACCGTACCCGATGCCATCCAGTCGATTCTAACTCATAGCGGCCAGACTAGCTCTAATCTTTATTTGGACCCCTACTTTGTACCAAGTTCTGTATTAACGGCTCTACATGCATTAGGTCGTTTAATCCTCCAGCAACTCTATGAAGAAGGGGCTGTTATTGTTCCCACTTCACAGATGAGAAAACTGAGGAGCAAGGCGGTTAAATGACATTACCTAGTGTCGCACAACCAGCAACACGCAGAACAGGGATTCCGAGACGCCGAAAAAACAAAACAAAATAAAAAACGAATCCCGTTGCCATGGAGTTGATTCTGCTTCATGGAGACCCCATGTGTTACAGAATAGAACTGCTTCATAGAGTTTTATTGGATGTAATCTTTTTGGAAGCAGATCACTAGGCCTTTCTTCCGTGGTGCCGCTGGGTGGGTTTGAACCGCCAACCTTTAAGGTTAGCATCCAATCACAAACTGCTTGTGCCACCCAGGGACCTACAAGACACACTAAGGGTTGTGCTTATTATAATCACGATGCTACACTGTTGTCAGAGCCCTGGTGGCGCAGTGGTTAAAGTGATCAACTACTACTAACCAAAAGATCAGCGTTTCAAAACCACCAGCGGTTCCATGGGAGAAAGATGTGGCAGTCTGCTTCGGTACAGATTTACAGCCTTGGAAACCCTATGGGGTCACTATGACTCAGAATCGACTCGACAGCAGTTGGGTACACTGTTATTGGTCAGCTACTTGATCACAGATAGGGTTGCCAGATTTGGCAAATAAAGATACAGGATGCCCAGTTAAATTTAAACCATCTTATACACTGCTAGTGGGGTTGTAAAATGATACAACCACTATAGAAAATGGTATAGCACGTCCTCAAAAAGCTAGAAATAGAAATACCTCCTAATCCAGCAATCCCACTCCTAGGTATATATCATAGAGACATAAGAGCAGTGACACAAATAGACGTATGTACCCCTGTCTTGGTTACCTAGTGCTGCTATAACAGAAATACCACAAGTGGACGGCATTAACAAACAGAATTTTATTCTCTCACAGTTTAGGAGGGTAAAAGTCCGAATTCAGGGCTCCAGCTCCAGGGGAAGGCTTTCTCTCTGTTGGCTCTGGGGGAAGGTCCTTGTCATCAATCTTCCCCTGGGTCTAGGAGTTTCTTGGCACAGGGACCCTGGGTCCAAAGGAAGTGCTCTGCTCCTGGCACTACTTTCTTGGTGATATGAGGTTCCTCTCTTCTCTGCTCGCTTTTCTCTTTTAAATCTCAAAAGAGATTGACTCAAGATAAACCTGATCCTGTAGATTATGTCCTGTCTCATTAATATAAACCCCGCCCAAAACCTGTTGCTGTCAAGTAGATTCTGACTTCTAGCAACCCTACAGGACAGAGTAGAACTGCCCCATAGGGATTCCGAGGAGCAGTTGTGGATTTGAACTGCCAGCCTTTTGGTTAGCAGCCAAACTCTTAACCACTGCCTCTAATTCTGCCTCATTAACATCATAGTGGTTAGAATTTACAACACATAGGATAATCACATCAGATCACAAAATGGAGGACAACCACACAATATTGGAAATCATGGCCTACCCAAGTTGACACATTTTGGGTGGATACAATTCAGTCCATAACAACAGCTATGTTCATTGCAGCATTATTCACAATAGCAAAAAGATGGAAACAACCTAAGTGCCCATCAACAGATGAATGGATAAACAAATTGTGGTACGTACATGCAATGGAATACTACATAACTAGAAAGAATAATGAGGAGTCTGCAAGGCATAACATGATGAATCTGGAGGTCATTACACTGAGTGAAATAAGTCAATTACAAAAGGGCAAATATCGTATGGTCTTTTATAAAAACACAAGAATAGGTATACACACGTAAGGCAATGTTCTTTTTTTTTAATTGTACTTTAGGTGAAGGTTTACAGAACAGATAGTTCCTCATTAAACAGTCAGTACACAGATTGTTTTATGACATTGGTTAACAACCCCACGACATGTCAATCCTCTCCCTTCTGGACCTTTTTTTTTTTTTTTTGGTGAAAATGTACATAGCCAAAGAGAAGGCAATGTTCTTTGATGGTTATTACCAGAGATGGGAGGGGGAGTGAGGGGAAATCACTTTCTAGATAGTAGACACTTATTATTTTTGGTGATGGGAAAGGCAGTATCCAATATGGGAGAAGTCTTCATCGACCAAGGTAAATGAAGACACTAAGAAGTATGCGTGTATAAGGGACAATTTGGGTAAATGCTATAACAGGTACAATTTTGCAACAACAGTAAAAACAACCAAAAAAGATGTGTGTGTTACATAGGTAGATGTGTATGCGTATACAGTCTGTATATAGGAAGTCATACGTGCACATGCATGTATAGGTGTATCTGTAGGCATATGTATATACTCCCTAGACATATTCAAACACCTGACGGGATTGGGTTACTGGGTTAAAAGGCTTAGGACCATAGTCTCATGGGACAACTCGGTCAATTGACAGAACATAGTTCATAAAGTTTATGTTCTACATCCTAGTGTGGTGAGTAATCTGGGATCTTAAAAGCTTGCTAGCGGCCATCTAAGGTCTCTACTTGTCTGGAGCAAAAGAGTGAAGGAAACCAAAGACTCAAGAAACTAGTCCACAGCACTAATAGCCCACACGAACCACACGAACCACGACCTCATCTATCCCAAAACCAGAAGAACTAGATGGTGCTCAGCTACCCCTGCCGACTGTTCTCATCAGGGACACAAGAGAAGGTGCAGAATAGAATTCCTAAAAACAGGCCAGACTTACTGGACTGATAGAGACTAGAGGAACCCCTCAGACTATTGCCCTAAGATATCCTTTGAACTTGGAACTAAAGCTACACCCAGAGGTCACCTTTCAGCCACATAATAGATTGGCTCATAACATAAGCAATATCACTCGTGAGTACTGTGCTCCTTTTAATAATAACCTATATGAGAACAAAGGGTCGACATTTACCCTAAAGCAAAGATGAGAAGGTAAGGAGGGGCAGGGAAGCCAGATTAATGGAAACAGAACAAACAGTGGAAATAATGGAAATGCTGACGCATGAAAAATGTAAGCAATGTCATGGAAAAATTTGTATAAAAATTGTTAAATGGGAGCCTGATTTGCTGGGTAAACCTTCATCTAAAAAAATATTATTTAAAAAACAAATTGACCCAGACATATTTGAAGAAAATGGGGGCATTTTGCTTGGATAAGAGGATAATACCCGGGGACTCAACACTAACTAGGAGCCTTGAGGGTGCAGTGGTTAAGAGCTTGGCTGCTAATCAAAAGGCTGGTGGTTTGAACCTACTAGCTGCTCCATGAGAGAAAGATGTGACAGTCTGCTTCCGTAAAGACTGCAGCCTTGCAAACCCTATGAGGCAGTTTCTACTCTGTCTTATATTATCGCTATGAGTTGCAATTGACTGGATGACAAAGGTTTTCAGCACTAACTTTACTAATCCTTATCGTCATGGAGAATAAGGGGTGTATTCATTCTGTCTTGCTCCAGAGGGAGAGCTGGGACTAGACAGATTTTAATTTAATGTAAAATAACTTTATAGTGGCTCGGGCTATGCAACAGGAACAGGCTGCCTTGGGATACAGAGTGCAACACCACACTGAATACATTGCATGTGGCACAAATGGTTAAGTGCTTGGCTACTGACTGAAAGGTTGGAGGTTCAAGTCTACCCAGAGGCACCTCAGAAGAAAGGCCTGGCAATCTATTTCCAAAAGGTCACCCCATGGAGTGCAATGAAATACCTGGGGTCATCATGAGGCAATTTTTTTTTTTTAATTCTAGCAGTGGCTGATCTGCTCAAGTGTACCCCAGCCTGGCTGATCATCAGAATCACTTAGGGGAGCTTGTTAAAAACACATATTCCAGATCTCACAACACAGATGCTGATTCAGGAAGTCAGGAAGTCTTTGTTCTTCATGACTGTGGACCAGCCAAGCTGGGGACTACTGCTGGAGGGGCTGGCAGAGCTGGAGCCGAGAGACCTCTGAGGTCCTTTCGTTACCAAAGATTCCATGGTCGGAGGGTTCGCTGGCAGGTGGTAAGGCGGTATAAGCAAGCTCCGTATGTACTTTTCCAGCATCACCAGGATGCCAGATTTCTTTAAGCTTTAAAGTCAGCCTTGGCCTTGGATGGCCACAACCAGCTTTACAAGGGTTTACTACATTTTGAAGGAACTATTTCTCTGCCTCAAAATCTTTTGGGGACTTCCTATTGCTCCCTGTTTTTTACATTTCCCGGATAGGAGATGGAACCTTAGACTGTGTGAATTTCGCTTTGCCACCATGGTTTAAGAAGTTCTTAAAGAACCGAGCCTCATGAACTACGTTCTTCACTAAGGGAAGTCACCAGGCATCCCATTTCTCTGCAAGCAGCCTGTATTTTGAGGTTTTTCTCCTTAATTTACCAGTATTTACACTCACACACACCCTGCCCATCTGTTGTGGTCCTCCGCCGCCAGTCTGCACTTCTGGGCACGCTGCCTGATGGACAGGTCTGGCTACAGCCCTGACTCTGCTGTCGCACCCATGGATGAGATGAGCAACAGAGCGTTCGTTTCTAGCGTGTGGGCTTCTGGTGCAAGGATCTTTATGAAACCATAATAATGGGGAACAGAGGAAAGAGACGGCCTTTTCTTTCCTTGAAGC